TCCTAAGTAATGGTCAGTGACGAGCGAGGGAAAAGACGTCGTTGTCTGGGGGACCCAAATCTTTCTTCCACTCAGAAGTTTGCATTCGGCTTAGTTTCTTTATTTTAAAGGGTCCCCCGGCTGCGGGGAACATTACCAGTGCGTGAATCAGCGCATTAATCGAATCTTGCACTGGAGAACAACTGAGAGTTAATCATTTTTATCAGGTGGCGTAAGTAATTTCTGCGTTTTGCAGTGGACGACAAGAAAGTGGAGTTCACTTCGCCGCCAAGCCGTTCGAAACATGAGGCGAAGGAGTATGCTGCGCATGAATTGTTGAGGTATGGAATATAGAAGTGGTCGTATGCATCGAAGTCGACTGGGAAATTGGTTTCTTGCAGGTCTCACTTTGACATTGATCCTCCAGCGGTCGCTGCGGAACGACCTCCAGTAGTAGAACAGCCGGTACCTCCGTGTCAGAAATTGCACGTGCTGCTTGCAAAACAGAACAGATCGGTAGGCACGATTATTTATTAAAGCAAATTTCATCCATTGTTGACTGATTAGGTGACTCCGAACATCAAGTACGAGGACCTGGGTCTTGCTGACGATACAGTGAATCAAATGGGAACAATTTTCAAGTTAGTTTTCTTTCCCTTATTTCTAGTTCTAAGATTTTCTCTTTTTTTTTCAGAAGCAAACTCATCATAAATGACAAGGAAGAGTTTATTGGTAGCGGAAAGTCGAAGAAAGCAGCTAAAAATGATGCCGCTATGATGGCTTTGAAAAAGATCTTTATGGTAATAACCTGGAATAGCATTCGGAAACTTTGCAATGCTTTTAATGGACTTGTTTTAGTTTGATTATAATAATCCGGAATCGGAACCAGTAATAGAAACACCTCCAAGAGCTAGGAGGACCGCAAAGAACGGCAGCTCACAATTGTGTTTTGATGTAAGTTTCCGGAAATCTTTAATGTTGTTATGGAATTATGAAGTAGATCAGCTCACATTTATGGCGAGCAAAATTATTATCGAACTCATCTTACGCTTTTATCATTTCTCAAATAGACTACCTGACAATTTTTGAACAGAAAAAATACCCTCCATCGTGAGTTGACATGGATTGAGGAACGGATTCTGGTTTTTTCTATACAG